AGAAGCTACCCTGAGGCTCCAACCATTTGCTCAGAAAGCAGTCGGGGGACAGTGCCAAAAAACGTCTTTTGGCTTCTAATTGACCCACGGGCACTTTCCCCGGAAAAGGGGCTATTTGCCGAAGTTGGCTCATGTCGGCCAAAAGAGGTCAGTCATATGGTCAAAACATGCACTAAGGATGACAAGATCGTTCAACATGGACATTGCCAACCATCCATGACCAACCCTCCAGATCTAGAGAAGAAACTTATTTTTTGTTTTGGAGCCCTAATTAGATTCACACATGGGGCTGCTCCGCCAGTCAGCCCTGCGAGGTGCGCCCTGTCGTGATCGGATCGGTCGTGACAGCACTGTTTCTTTCGCTGCCCGCATGTTCGCAGCTTTGCTTCTTCATCTTTTGGTCAGCCTGGCCCAAGCATTTGTCTCTATCCACGTGTGACTGCGTCCATCATGTCCCTCTCCTACATCCAGCAGGAGGATGGCTGTTTTGTGGTGGACCAGCCCATGAAGTTTAAGGTGTCAGCCACTTGAATGAACACTAGCCCTACAGGTAGCTACACCCAGAGCAGTTGGCTAGCTTTGAATGGTTTTGATATTTTCCAGGTTTGGCCGTAGTGTTGCGCTGAGTTATAAGGTAATTGCGCGCAGCATCATGGATGGCATCAGTGAGTACATGAGAAACTGCACACCCAACGTGCTTGACACACAGGAGCATGCTGTTTGCGTGTGGGTGTGAGTGTGCATGCAAGGCTGCTGTGATTTTGCGACCCATTTACTCAGTCTACCCTATGGGCAGGAGAGATGTGTTTGCAAGTGGGATAGTCGCACTTCTGAGAGGGCACAGGCTGGCACTGCTGTGTTTGTTTCAAGTGACCATGCACATGCGCAGCAATGTTCTGCAGCTGACTCATCACGTCAAGCTTTGAACTATTTTGAACTGCATGGCATGGTGCAGGTCTACGAGCAGGACCTGGAGCGCAACTACTATCTCATCAGGGAGCTTCTCTTGGAGCTCAATGTTCAGATTGGTCAGCATGGTCTTCCAGACCAAAAGGAGTACACGGTGGCAAGCCTTAGACATTGTGTGTAGTCGTGCTTGCACTGCATTTACTGAGACATGCTGCAAGCTTGCAATGTCTGTTGCTGTGTGCTGTCGCGAAAATGGATTGCTCAGGCAGCTTTACTGTTCATGACGGCGGTCTACAACTGGCACACACCCCACTACCGCCGACGGGGTGGCAAAAAGTTTGTCCGGGCTCCTTGATTGCACTTAGCTGTGCTGACACACCACTGTTCGGAATATGATGACTTGAACACGTCATTAACTAGCATAGGGCATAGCTTGCATGATCTTGCCTATATCCAAAACTAGGAATGGGCCAATACGGAAGCAACCCGGATGAAGTCTATGATGTCCCACTTGGCAAAGCTTGCGAAGGCCACACATGCAAGCAGGCAAGGTGGCCATGCATGAGATAGCCGTTTACCATGCTTCAAGTTTGAGTTTGAGTTTCATTTTTTGGGAATGCTGTTCAGATCTAACAAGATCTCAGTCCTCAAGAAACTGCTCCTGCACTTTTGGAACCAGGCAGGTGTATTCTTGCACACACAAAAAGGTCCTGGCATGTCCTGGTGTGTGCTGTCAGGTGCCAAATGCTGCCCCACTGGATGACAATGCTCATGAGGCGTGAAACTGTCCAAACTATCAACTTGCTGATGTATATGTTGTCATGTGTGGTGGGTTCTGACTGGTCAGCTCAAATTTCATTGACTCATGTGTTTTTACGCTTGAGGAGCCATTGGAGATTCTGGATTCTGATATTGATGATGATGCTCCCCAAACGCTGTCTGACCAGGCCTTCATGAATATGTTGCATGTGTGCGCCCATTGCAAGTTCAGCTTGCTTGGTGTCATTTGCAACCTGACCTGGACCTAGGTGAAAGCTATTCGTGCCGAGGCAAAACAAATGGTCATGGAACTGGAGGATTCGATGGACATGGAGGTGCAAATGTACCAACCACAGATTTGGGGATTTGAGTTGGAGTACCTTCTTTTTTCTCCATGAGCTCAAGATTCGTTCTGCTTGAAAGGCTGATGGAAAAATGCCCCACTCAAGCCACTCACTGCAACTTTTCATGTTATATAGATTTGTTTCAACGGTCTTGAGGGGTGCCGTTTGGACCCCTGCTGACATTGATTGGAAGGCTGGTGGCGACCCAGCTGGAGATAAACCACACCATGATGCTTTGGAGGCTCTGCATGTGCGGATGTGCTGTGCACTGCACCCAGGAAAGTTGTTTCTGTTCACAGTCGTTGCCATTGCTGTAGGTGGAGTCGATTACGGCATCGGTTCCTGCAGCCGAAGCTGACCAGGATGATGTGAAGGCTCATTCATGCGGCACGCATGCCATGTGTACAGTGTGCAATGTTCAACACTACCTTCCTTTCTTTGAAGTGAATTGAATGGAAGGCTGACACCAGTGAGGACTTTGCAGAAGCCACTGCAGAGCAGGCTGGTGCGCATTCACTCATTGGATATCATTGATTTCTGTCTTCAATGAGTGTATCCCTCACTAGTACGCACGTGGCCGGCAGGCTGGACAACATGAGGAGCCACCTGCAGTAGAAGACAAGAAAGAGGACACTGCTGCACTTTGCCAATGCAAAGCCTTCACGGGATGGTGAATGCTGCAGCTGACAGGACCAAGGTGTTGTTGAGATTGACGATGCAGATCAGGAGTTGCCTGAGGATGGTGAGGCTAGTGCACGTTTGCGATCTCTATTGATATATCCAAGTGATTTGGTGCTTCTGTTGGAGGTTGTCCCGTTCAGTGAACGCGTTCGATCCTATTTTGAAAGATGGCCTGGAGCACTTGAGGTACATAATATTGTATGTTTGCAGGGTGACATGCCTTTCCATCACCTGATCATGCACAGGTCAATGTGGCTGGTGCAACAAGCACAGTCTCTCGCGCGCCAAAGGACGCGTTCTCAGATAAGTCTCCAGTGGCATCAACCAAGATAAGAAGGTCAAATATAAATTACATTGCATTAATGTTGTTCTTATCCTTGTCAATGCAACCTCTCTTGGAAAATGTGATCTGCAAGGCTTCACTGGCTTGTGATCTAAGTGTTCAACAAGCTGCATTGCGTGCCAAGCAAAAGAAGGACGTGACTGTATCCTGCTGTATTTGTTTGGGGTCAACTGAACTTATAAAGCAACAGAGTCGGGGCTTGAGACAACGCCAGGAGAAGGAGATGCTTGAGGCTGAGAAGGCCGTGGAGAAAGAGGCCCGGAAGAAGGGGGAGAAGCCGAAACCTGGCAAGAAAGCTGATCAGAAAACTCCGGGCACTGCAGTGGCTGTTCCAGCTGTGGTGGAGAAGAAGAGGAAATCCGGTGAGATGGCTCCAACTTCAGCTGGGTCTGCGTCTGCAGCTCCGAAGGCCAAGCCTGATGCTGCTGTCAAGGCAGCTTGCGCAGCAGCTAGGCGCAAGGATGCAGCAAAGCTGGCTTATCAGCTCTTGGCTGAGCTGAAGATCGAGGACATGGATTTGCCAGCAAACCTTGTCACCGACAACAAGGTCAGCTGCACTTTGCGCCCTCCAGAGAGTTGCACTTCGGCCAAGTGCAACATCAACGATGTGCTGTACAACTACGGCTTCTATGTTGCCAAGTCGATTCCCCAAAAGGAGTGGCCACAGGAGTGGCAAGACACCTTCAAGGTGCTGTTGTTTTTTGGCAAGCATTCATGCAAGATGCATGCGGCATGGATACATCCCTGTCTGTCCCGTGCAGGTGGACCAGCGTGGAGGTGTTACCTTGCCTTGGAGGGGTGATGCCAAGACTACATGGGCGCAGGCGAAGATTGTAGCCGGCTGGGAAATGGTCAGCACTGATGTGCCACCGGCTCGGGGCAGGACCTATAAGTTTGTGTTAATTTCATTTGATCCATGTCAAGCTAGTGCTATATCACCATTATGGACAACCTTTTTGCAAGATGCATTGCACTCTTGGCAGAGCTGGTGCAGGAAGCGAGTTCGCAACGCTTGCAATTGATTTTGGCTTTGGAAGATGGAGCTCTCAAGGCCATGTGTATTGCTGTGCAACTGTAGGGGTCTTGAAAAGAGAGAACAAACATGAACAAACGCATCGTTAGTTAAGCTATGGAGGAAATGAAGCCATGATTATACAGCAAGCACCTTTTCCAAACTTCGTGAGGCAGTCTGTATGTATGCAGCACGGTCAGACTATGCTGTATACAGCTGGGGTGAGGATCGAAGGCTCAGGTTGGCTGTGGAGTTCTTGATCATACGTAGACATGTTTCATGCTGAAGTGTTGAAGCGTTCACTATCTGTAAGACTGGTCAGTCAACCCGCAATGCTAAATATCCTGCAGGCAAATACCTGACGCTTAGATC